CCGCTCCGGCTTGGCGACAACAAAAGTTACTCCAGCGCCCGAGCGCCGCGTTGTTGTCGCCCTTGACGAGAAACACGCGCCTCGCGCTCCGGCGCGGGGGAGAAATGAAAGGAAACCCCTGCGCTTATCTGCCAGAGCGGGCCCGAACACCCGGGCAAAAAAAGGTGTCGGTTGTGCTTTACCCTCCTCACGCAACCGCTCTGCGTTGCAAGCTGTTGGCCCTGGCGGAAGGGCGGAGGGGAAGGGGAGCGCTGCTCGCCCTCCCGGGGTACCTCCGCGCAGCAGAGTCTTCCTGGGGAAGGGTGCCGGGGGTTTGCTGGGGTGAATCTATCCCCGTTAATTGATTCTGAGAGAGGAAGCAGGGGTGGGGACTTCACCACTGCTGCTTCTCATACCCAGAGGAATAACAGTCGTTTTACACCCAGAAACTTCACTAGAAAAGAAAATGCAGGTTTGCTCCTGCTGCTGGCACAGTACCCAGCGCCTGTTGATCCCGCAGCTGGCCAAAGCTGAAGGATTCGGGGAGGCCTCCCAGGACCCACCCTGTCCTCAGCCTCTGGCGATCCTTCCCCCAGCACAGCACGCTTTCTGGCTCAGACGTCTTTCACGCCTCGCCCAGGACCTGTGCCTAGGTCCTAGGTTGCTGTGTCTGGTGGGATCTGGCCGGCCTCTCCGGAGCACTCTAGCTCTTGGTTTTTCCGTGACTTCTCCAAGGAGAGGAGCTTTTCTCTCAGGAATTTGTTTTCCCGTAACAAACAGCTGCTCCCCTGCTCTGCAGCCTCCCTGGTCCCAGCGGTACACTTTCCTGCCTGCCCGCCGACAGCGCCCAGCGCCGGGGAGCGCGACCAGTCCTCCTCCAGCCCTGTCTCCGATACTCTCTCCTCCCATGCCGTTTCCCATCTCCCGATTGTTTCAGATATCCTTCTCTTGGTGTTGCTCAGGGGACACTAAACCTCCAAGGAGAAGGGGCAGGGAGCACTTCAGTGTCCAGAGCAGGGATGAGCAGGGGAAATGATTGAAAGTGCATTTTAGAAACAAGTGAAGCTGTCTTTGTACTTACCCTTTCTAGAAAATGCCCTTTTTAATAACAGCATCTACAAGCAATGTAATACGACTAAAGAGAGCAAAACTGCGGTTACCTTCATCTTCTTGGGCAGAGCGAGGCTGCGCATCCAAGCTGCTGGGCTCTCCTGCAGCCCTGCTTTCTCAGCCACAGTTTGAGGTTCAGTTCTTTCAGAGGCGCTTAATGGTGCATTTGCATCCTGGCTAGGTCCTGTCGAACAAGAGGTGTTTGGGAAACGCTCCCAGCGCGGCAGAGCGTGCTGCCAAGCAGTGGCATTGCTGGGGCAGGCCGGAGCATCGGACTTTCTGGAATGTGGAATGTAAACAGAGAGCGTTGCTAGCAACAGCCCAGCTTTGTGTTATAACCCAAAGCCACAGCTCCGTGTCTTGGGAGGACCAAAAACCCAAACTCTTGCCTGCTCAAATTGCAACCCAGGGGCCACGCGTCACTTTCGCATTGGGTCAAATCATAGCTGTAAATAAGCCATGCCCCTGCTCCCCCCACCACCCCCAACCCTGAGATTTTCAACTATTGAGGCTCTGCCCTCAACCTCTATGGCTTGCGCCCAGCTTTAGGAAGCAACGTAAGCTCACTGAGCTGGGAGCCCTAGTGATGAGCGCCCAAGCTGTGTTCCCCAGGCTTAGGAGCACAGGGGCCCCAGGAGGGCACTTCCTTGTGTTCTTCTGAGTCACCTGTCCATCTGCCTTGCTCTGGATGAGCACAACAGGGAAAAACTCCCCTTGCCAGCTATTTAAATAGCCTTAATACTTTCCAACATCTTAAACCAATGAACACAAGCATTTAGTGCCACTTCACAAGAGGCTGCATTTGCAGGATTACTCCTGATGATTATTTGGCCCTAACTCTAGAGGGAGGATTGGTTAGTGCAAGCAGGAGAGGATTGGCCAGCAAAGGGGAAGAACCAGCTGGCATCCCACTTGCCCCAAGCTCTACACAGTCATCACCGGGTCAGCCAGCCCTCAACAAGGCCTGAAATAATAATAGTTTCAGCCCATGCCTCCCTATGCATATGCAAGGGGAGCATCTCACACTTGCCTGGGATTTGGCTTGATGGTCCTCTGCAGTGGGAGAGCTGATCTGTGCTGCATGCACAAACATGCAGAGCAGTATGTCTCCCATCTGCCAACTTCTTTTCTCTCACCTTCTCCAAGACACAGATGTGTGTAATAGATATTTTATGAGATTCAGGGCCAGATTTGTTAGAGGATTTGTTTGTTTCTGGGGTGATTTGGCAGGAGCTTGTGAAACAGGCTCTCTGCTGAAGTGACCCAGCCCAGCTGTAATGGAGTTGGGGACGCCCAGAGGTCTCCCTGGTCCTCTGGGCACATCCTCCTGCCTCCCACCACACATGGAGCAGTGAACCACTACAGATCAATTAAGTCACACTTTTTATTGTATTGTATTCCATGCAATATGTTCATGTATGACAGAGGGAGGAATAAAGATAAATGTTAGACAAATAAAAGCAGAAAGGTCATTTGTAACAGGTCCTGAGAAGGAAAGGCACATCGTAACCACTGAATTCAACAGAATGGAAACCTTGGACAGAGGAAGACAACTCTGGAAAGCAGACGAGAAAGGAGGAGTTCAAGTTGGGCGATGTGGAAGCAAGTTTGACAGCAATTTGTATTTCCCCACCTCCCAAAGTCTATAGTTCAAATGGGCTTGGGGACCTCAATATTCAACCAAATCACTTCCACACTCCCATTGCCGGAGAGAGTCCAGGATCCCCAACTCTTCCAGGCTTAGTCAGCACCATGGAGCATCCCCAGGCAGCAGAGGGCTCAGAAAGCTCCTTCCTGCACGGAGGAGCGAGGAAAGGGCGGCTGGCAGAGAGGCAGGAGGGATGACTGTCCAATGCCACGGGAGCCCCCAGCCATCTCCCACCTGACAGTGCCAGATCACAGGAGCGTGGAGGACTGCAGCATCGCTGGTGACCTGTGGGTATTGCTATTAGCCAATGTTGGAGACCATGGAGAAGGAAAGGCCAAGGTGGAGGACAGATACAGCAGTAAAATGGTTGGCACGGACACTGGCAAACATCTCTGTCAGGTCAGAAACTGAAGGGACTGTAGCACCTCAAAGGGAAGCAGCAGCAAAACCATGTGCTGTGCCTGATTTAAGGCAGTGATTGTCACTTATGATCCAGGGCCAGGAAGCACGAGGTTCCTGCCAAAACAGCACGAAGGGCTCCACAGCTAGGCTTGGACGTGTAGACCCTGCCGATGCAGTGACCGCAGCACATCTCTAGTGAGCCATCTTCACGCAGCAGACACAGCGTGGCAACGCTGGAAACCGTCACAGTGGAAACTAGCACAAAACCAGGGCCGAGACTTTCAGCACTGGGCACGCGCTATTGCTCCTAAGAGATCTCTTCCAAGTACCCAGCCCTGCTGCACTGCAGATACAGTGGTGTCTTTTTATCTTTGCTTGCAGGAGAAGAGGTGGTTCAGCTTCACTTTGGGACCAAGAGCAGGAACGGTTCTGTCACTACTTGGCTACAACACAGCCAACCTTGCTCCTATAACTAGATGTTGAAGTGTATTTTGCCTGTTGAGGAGCTAGCATTTTGCAGGCTAGATTTCTTCTTGAGCCCCTTCTCTTTAGTCCTCTACCCATGACACTATCCCAGCTCCTCTAAGACATCCCGAAGGCAAAAGCCAGGCTGAAATAGGCAGCAAGAGGGCAGAAACACGAGGCAGAGGCAAGGCCGAAGACCGATGCTTTCTTCTGAGTAGCACAAGCCAGTGGTGGGGCTGCCACCCAGCCCAGCCTCAAGGATGGGGCATGGGTCCCTCTTGAGATGGGCAGGGGGTTTCACAGCCTGCAGCAGGGCAGGGATGGTGTTTGGGAAGGTTTTACTCAAGCCTGCACACAGTGGGCTGTGTCACATCGGTGGCGGGCAGCCCGTGAGCGAGCCCAGGGCTGGCATCCCCCCAGAGCAGCAGGGCAGGTGGCAGGGGCTTCGTCTCAACTGGGCAGCTGGGAAGAACACACCGGCGTCTCCCTGGCTGAGGCTGCACATGGGTCTCCCATCTCTTACTGATCCAACCGGGAGCAAAGGTTGCAGGAGCTGTTGCCTTTACCTCCGTGGACGTTGCCCTGGGCTCTGGGAGAGGGCCGAGCTGTCTCTTGGCTAGGGCTTCATTCAGTCCATGACACAGATTGCAACTTTTAGTCCCTACTGAGATAAGCTAGATTTGGATTTGGCCTCCAGGTGAAAGGCTCTTTCTCTCTTTCTGCCTGGCTACAGCCCCCTGGCTGAGCTAGCAGCTGCTCAGAGACAGCACGCCAGGAGCACTGCTGACAACACAGTGCTAAATCCCAAGAGCTTGTGAAGATCCCCCAGTGTCTAGCTCGGGCCCTGAAAAACCTGGGCAAGGCAGGACAGGCAACAATCCAGAGCTGGTCTGCACCCCACTGAGTGCTACTGCAATGGCGTTACCTCTGCGTTTGACAACGCTGAGCCGTTCTGCAGGGTCATCCTCCATGGAGACAACAGTGCGATGCAAGAGTGTGGAGCTGGACTCAGCGTGGGAGCCCGGTGTTCCTCCCTGCCACCAGTCAAGGACCCTGCAGTGCCACCACCGCCTGGGGACATGGCAAGGCTCAGAGCTGCGAGGAGAGGCAGTGAGCAGATGGATGATGCCCCGAGTCAGAGTCCGTTTCCAAAGCCTGCAAGGAGGGCAGGGGAACAACTGTAACAGCCAACATCCACGCAGAGGCAGGTGGCTCTAGCATCAAACCCCTGAAGCGGGACAGGAGCAGATCCCGGAGGCCTTCCTCCCCTGTCGCTCCCAGGATGCGGCGAGGGCTCAGACCCCTAGGATCTGGGGCAGAGACACAGAGCTCGAGCTGAAGGAGATAAGGGGATCCTTCCTCTTCAGCCACAGGCAGCGAAAGGAAACGACCCAGCCGCTTGCGAAAGCCTGGGACATTCCCTCATCGCTTCGGCTGTGCTGGGATGCCAGGCCTGGCTGGGGAGGGCTGGCGCTCTTCTCCTGAGCAGGCTGGATCCACACCAGCACGGACAATACTGACACACCAGGGAGCGGAGGTGGGAACGGCAGCGCAGGCCCTGCAGGGATCCCACGGCGGGGCTATGTACAGAAGTCTGGGGCAGAAGGCAGTGCCTGCGACTCAGTCGTGTTTCTTTCTCTGCGCGGTCACGCTATGTTCGCTTTGCTGCGGCCCTCAAGGATGAAGGCGCTGCTCGAGGTTGCTTCTCACTTGGCTCCTCTCTCTAGGCTCAAAGATCTCACCATCCCAGTGCCCACAGGTTTTTACCTGCACCCCACAAGGCTTAGGGCAAGGCTCGGTGCTCAGTGGATGCTCCTGGATGAGCCGGCCAAGGGGCCTGGGCTCCTCCACAACCTCCCTCTGGGCCATGAGGCTTAATCCACAGCATCTTCCCAGCAGCCATGAGGGAAGGGGGGGTGGTACCCTATGGCCACCCCTAGCCAACATCCCCTTGCAAGTTCATAGCCATTGCCATGCAGAGGGGAGAGGGTGAGATGCAGACTGAGCCGTCCCCTGGTCTTGTGATGGAGTTTGGTGGATAAACCATCCTCTTCCACCCGCTGCCTCGAGAAGAGTGCCGGGGGGGGAAATGTGCCCAGGGCCAGCCCAGCCCAAGGGCCGTGGCCATGCTCACACATGGGCAGAGGGGAGGAGGTCGTGCCCACACTCATGCACCACATGGACGCACTTAAAAACGGGAATTGTGAGCGTGGGAGGCGGGAGGGGGGTTTCCTGAGACCGCAGAGAAGCAAAGGCCGCGTTGAACAGTCAGGGACAGGCGCGCTGGTGTCAGAGCAGTCCTGCCTTAAGGCTGCAAGTGTTCCAGGTACTGCGGCAGCGGGTTCTCTTTGACGTATTTCTGAATATACCAGCATGTCAGATGAGCTTTCAGATCCTCCTCCACCACGAAGTCCAGGGCTGCCTGCAACCAAGCAAAGGACAGCTGGGTTACAAACAGCACCTGCGGCTGACGCTCTCCTCAGGGCTTCCCTGGATGCTTAGAGGAGACTGCTGGATGAGCACGACACAGAGCAGCCCTGCTCCCGGGAACCAGCTCTCATGGCATATCTGTACTGCTCTAGAGAGCTGGGGCTATGCTGTCTCACCTGGCTGGCCATCCCTGCAGCACACGCAGGAGAGGCCTCAACCACCATGAGCTGCTGGCAGCCCCTGGGACATGGTGCCCCACATCTCGCCTCCTTTACAGGCGGAAGAAACCAAACGGCTGCTCCTGAGGGACTCTGCGTCCCCCATCCTCTCCCCAGAAGAGGATAGAGCTAGGGTGTTCACGTCACAGAGCAGCCATCCGCGCACCAGAGGACATGGTAAGGGAGACGGCATGACCTCAGCTGACCCACGGATTCCACTGCCACCTCCAAAACCTCCCCAGGGGCAGAAACTCCCCTGTCCCCACACAGAGCCAGGGGTTGCACCAGGGAACATCCCCAGGACATGAGGAGGGACAATGGAGGGAGAAAGCTGAAGGGGAAACACAACCATCCTGCAGTGGCCTCTGCAGTGCCACAGGCTCCCCAAGTCAACCAAGGGCACGCGGAGACTCCCTGGCAGCCCTGACACATTTAGGCTAGCAGGAATGGCCTGGTGGGTGCCGCATCATGGGCGGCCCAGCTGTGTCACGTGAAGGCCACTGTTGTCACCACCTGTCTTGGCTTACAGGGGTCAGGGAGCAGTTGTAATCCCGAAGCATCATCCCACAGTCTCTACCACCGCCACGCTCAACAGCTCCTCAGCTCCCCCTGCATGGCTTCAGGCCTCAAAAACAGGGACCGAGGAAGCAAAAGGGCTCACAAGAGTCTTGAAGCCTTGAGGTGAGGGACTCCAGTGCCAGGGAGAGGTGGAGAATCAGCTCCTGAGCAGAAGGGGGGTGGGAGCAAGGGCTTTTTGCAGGAAGGAGGAAAGGGCAGAGTTTGGGCTAACAGCTGGACGTGCTGGAACTCACCCAGCCCCTCTCGCGGCCAGAAATAGGAACGTCTGATCACAGATTTCCATCTCTCCTGCCAGCTCCTGGCAGAGGGAGAGAGCAGCCCTGCCACCCGGACATGGCCTCGGCAGCACCAAGCCTGCAGGGCAGCTGCTGCCACCACCACGGGGGCCAGCGTGGAGTACGCAGAGGAGCTGCCACCTCCTGGTGAGAGCAGTCGCATGCCCCCGGCATAGCAACATTGCTGCCACACCAAGCTAGCCCGTGGCACCCGGTGCTAGAGGGCTCTTTTTATGAGAAGCTAACCCCAAGGGGCAGATGAGTGCCCAGCCTCTGTGCCAGAGTTGTTCAGAGGTGGTGAGGAAACCCCCGTGGACCTCTCCAAGTTTCTGTCTGGAAGAAGGTCCAGGACTGGGTTTGGAGCAGGTGGGTCCCTGCAGCAGATGCGTCCTTCTGCAAATGAAAACCTCAACCAGACGCAGAGCTTTGAAAGCCAATGGCGGGGGCTTTGATACAGCAAAGGAATGCCACTCAGGGGCCCCAGCGAGCATGGGAAATCCTGCTCAGGGACCCCAGCAAGTGCAGGGACCTCCAAGAGCTTCAGTCTCTTGCTTTCCACCAGATCCCTGACCACTTCTTCCTTCCCACTGGCGTCAGACAGGCTGCCCTGTCATGGGACAAGCCACTCCTAGGCATGGAGGACTTGCAGACACTCAACAGCCCCCAGTTCCTTTCTCCCACAGCTCTCAGACCTGACAAAAATGGGAGAGGAACTGGAGGAAGCAAAAGGGGTCAGCAGCTTTAAATTGGGAAACGCACATCCCCACTCATGGGAAAGGGCTGGAGAAGGGGAAGGTCAGACCAGCCAAGGCCCAAGACGCAACCGGCCGGGAGGCGAAATGGCCCCGAGATGAGCCCATGCATGGGAGGGGAGAGACCAACGCCTGTGTAGATGCCACATAAACCAGACTCTGCTTGGGCAGCCGCTAAGGGTGACGCAAGCAATGCCTGCGGTGACTGTGCCGGGGGACCCTTTTAGGGACGCGTGGGTTTACAAGAAAGCAGAGGACCGAAACTTGGACTCCATCCTGCAGTGGGAGGACTGAGACAGCAAACTGACCCCCAATCCCAAAGCTAACAGCTACCGCTACCATGACTGCAGCCAGAAAATTGGCCAGGAAGAAAGCAGGGCAGGATCGTGGCCATTTATCAGGACTGACCCCATCAGGCTGTCATTGGCCATACGGCCTGTGCCTGGCTCCAAAAGCTGCCCTTGGTGTCTCCCTGCCATCCCTTTACAGCTCAGTTCTCGCTGCCTCTTTTTGGAGGGCCCACCTGCCTGCTCTCCATCCCTCCGAGGCCCTGGGAGGGCCATGTTCTTTCCCAGCACGAGCCCTGAAGAGTTAAACGAGCCATGTTTCAGGGAACAAACAACCTGGACTTGCCTCAGCACAAACCATCACCCCAGGAACACCCCCTGCATCCCAGCATCACCCAGGCACCAGTTCTGCCCTCAGCTGCATCGCGACCGGTTTAACGCGTCCCTCATGAGGGTTTTGTCATCCCCAGACTCGCTCCTTTTCCTCTGCGAACTCACTTCGCCGCTCTGGGCCCCTCTTTCCTATCGGAGCAGGGACAATTTCCATGGAGCGCACATGCAGCACCGACCGCTGGGGCCCCTAACCGCGGCCATGAGGGCAACGCTTCTCCCGAGGGAAAAGGGGGGACCTCCGGCCGTACCTTGGCGAGGTGCTTGGCTATTCCTCTTCCTCGATAGGCGTCCGGTACCTCCGTGTGCTGCAAGTCCACAATCCGCTTCCCCACGTATTCATAGAGCAGCACTGCCTTGTCGTGGCAACCTGGAGGAGGCAAGAGATCAGTGAGGATCTGGATGTCCCCGGTGCAACGGTGCCGCTTGCCGCAAAGCCCGCACCCAGGGCAGGGAGACGCGCTGCCCCCAGGGCTGCTGGACCGGCCCTCGCACAGCTCCTGGCACCTGCGGCCCTCAGAGACCTGCCTGCGGGAACGGCTGTGGCCTGGGGGGGGCTGCACACGCCGGAACAGCCCAGCTGAGATTTTGCTTTTGGTGACATTTGGATGTCCTGTTGATCCCTCGAGGCGTGAGCAGGGACATTTCCAAATCCCTGGGCTAGGGGCAAGTTTTCTGCACATCTCTGTATACATCCAGTGCTGATATAAAACACTTAAGGCAGGAAAGCAGCTAGCAGTGGAGGTGTATCGAGTAGGGAGCGAGCAAAAAGAGGAGGGGGGAGAACAAGGCAATGCTGACCCAGGTAAAAGCCAGTTCTTCTCTCTGTACAGCATGCGTTTTTTCTTTTTTAATCATGGTACCTAAGACAGGATTTCTTGGTGTGGCATTGCACATTTGGGACTATCAAGGACAGACACTTTCTGGGGAAGATGCTGCGAGAGATGGATCTCACAAACACACAGGAAAAAGTGTGCACAGGCGTGCACCAGTATATGCATGCACACAGACTTCCTGTTGCAACACCCTGATACTTCTCACAGCCGTTCAGATGCGGGAAAAAAAAAGATTTCAGCGCACATGTAAAACAGAGGAGAGCTAATAATACCCTTCCAGCTTCATCTGTAGAACCTGAACTTCTGTCTTGAACTCAAAAGCAAACGTTTCATTTCTAGAGGGTTTTATATTTAAAAATGAGTTTCAGAAACAAAAGCTTCCAATCCAAAGAGACATTCAATTAAATTTTTTCTTGCCCTCCAGTGTTTATTGGAAGGTGAAGAGCCACAAGTTCACCTGCATTTAGTAAATATTTCAGCTGAGCTCAATCTGCTTTATTGCTTTGCATTTTGACTGACAACTCCAGCCCAGTTTCCCAGATCCCCGTATTTAACGGATCCATTTGAATTTTGTATTTTGAGAGCATCCAATGTGCCCCGATCAGCCTGGCAGCACAGCCATGGGCATTTACCGAACCTGAGCAGAGGTAGGACGTTTGAGGTCATCAGAGGAGAAGCCCCGGCTGCCCAGAGACAGCCTTGCCGCAAGCTGCCTGACCCCACTCTTGTCCGACACCAGCCAAGATCTAGCTGAGAAGCAACTCAAGTTTTTGTTCCTGCTCCTTTCAAGCAAAGATTCATCTCTCCTACACAGGATGGAAACCTTTGCCTTTTCAGCCTGAATTTATTCAGGTTTCCTACCCACTCATTCTCGTGCCAATATCGTCCTTGGGTGTACATAAATCTTTTCCTTTCCCCACCATCCTCCCCCTGGTAGTTATTAACAGCAGTCCTGCCCATCAGCCTCCAATTTGCCAAAAAGTCAAGCTCTTTCAGTCCCCCTACAACTCCCAAGTCTGTGATTAATGCACAGCCGACCTTCCATCCCTGCCACGGCCCCTTCCTGAATCCCTTTTTCTCAGACAGGGCTGACGCTGGTTGCACTCTGCCGTCCAGCAAAGATCCCCCTGGTGCCCCAGGAGCCGTCCTGCTGCTGCTTTGCAAGCACCTGATCCTAGAAAACCCGGCTCGCATGCGCTCTTTCCCACAGGCGTAGCGTTTTGCACCACCAGCAACTCCGTAAGTAGCCCAGATTTTCTCCTGCCGTGTGCAGACGCATCCCGAGCCGTACACAAGCCTGGACAAGTAACTCCTAACTCCGCGGCATCTCCCAGAAAAGGCCATCAGGCAAGCCGGCACACCCCTCCGCTGCCAGCCCTTTCTCGCACTTCCACAGAAAAGGCATTAATCCCCCGGCATTTACTCCCCAGCACTAACGTAGGGCGGGCTACGGTGGGGAGACTAAGGGCGCTCCCATCCACGGCAGCCCGCTTGCACACACCTTCACAAGGGCTTTGCCAGCCCTCTTGTTTCAGCTGTCCCTGCTGCTCTCTGACCGCAGGGGCTCTCCTGCTGCGGGACCCACGTGCCATGTGCGGCTGGTCCATCTGCTGCTGACACTGAGGACCCAGAGAGGGTCAAAGACAGCTGGTCAGGGACCGGACAGACCAGCCACGGCTCACGCAGGAGCCGAAGGGTTTGGGGGTGGCAAAGGCCTCCCTGGTGAGCTGCTGGGACAGGTAGAGATAACAGGATGTGGAAACCACGGAAGTGCGATCACCTCTTCTCCGTTAGCAAGGCCACCGCGGCACGCGATCCTACAACCTGATTTTATAGATGCAGATCTCTGTAGGGAGAAGCGTGGCGTTCCCCCGCACGGATCCAGGTGGCCTCGGGAAAGGTGAGAAGCAAAGCAAGCAGCCACGAGCCCAGCTCCTCCCCTGGCCGCGCAGACCCGTCTCTGCCTCAAGAGAAAGCCTGCCCGGGTCGGAGCACGGCGCCGCTTCCCAGAGCCTCGGAAGAGAAGTGTTTGGTGGAAACTGTCCGTTAGGGGAGGCAGCAGCAGAGCCAGCAGCGCCGAAGGTCTTAAAACACTGTTATAACTATTGCTTTCACAGGCTCCAAACTTCCTGCTCTGCTCTCCTTGCAGGCTGAAACCCTCCCTAGCCTCTGCCTGAAGTTTTGTAAAGTTTAGAATGAGATCCTTCTCCGAGTCATGGCAGAAGGTCGTCTTTTTTTTTTTTTTTTTAAAGTATGCAATCTGTATAAAAATACCACACACGCATGCATCTTAAAGTCAGAGACAACGCAGCATTTGCAGAATCTCAGAGCTGCCCTGGACAGAGTTCTTCCTCGGCGTTTGCTCTTTGTGTTTCAGAGCCGGGTCACAAAACACAGCCGGGTCAGGAGTTGCAGGGCGCCACACACAAACCCACACAAAGCCCGAAGGACTTCTGAAACAGGCTCCACGGAGAAAGCGAGTGCCCCCGGCGCTGCAGGAAACAGAGGTCCCGGTTCAGAAAGACTTTCCGATTCGGCCAGGCCGAATGCACGTTTAAGCGATTTCCTTGCTGCTTTGGCAAGCGGAGCTGAGCCCTGCCTTGCTCTGGTGGCCAAGCCGGGCTGCCCCTCCGCCTCCACCCATCGCGCACAGCTCCGGCTCTCCTTGGGGGAAACGACCGCTGAAGACTCAGCTGGGGCTTCGCTCCATCCCTCGTACCGCAGGCGCCGTGCTCAGCTCAGGCCCCTGCCGCCGTCAGCGGGCACAGGCAGCCCTCCCCGGGCTGGCCAGCGGGGCCTCGATTTGCCCCTCTTAAAGATGCACAGGAGGAAAAAAAACACCAGAAAACAAACTCCAAAAAACACACAACAGGAGTGATCCAAAACTCATGCCACAGGCTTTGGGGACCGGCCAGGATGGACGCTCGTGTCCGGCTCCCCGCTGCGAGACGGCAGGTAATGATGACGGCAGTGCATACCTGCAAACCAAGCACCGGGGCCGCGAGAGGAGCTGGCGTACGGGGACAACTAGAGACAAATCGCGATGCTGAAAGGTCACCACAAACATCCCCTGCAGCCTCCCCAAGCAAGAACATGCCAAGACAAATCTGTAAGCTGGGCACCGCTGGACTCACCGGCCTGCACCACCACAGAAGGTGGGAGATAGGATAAAAGCCCTGATCTCCAGAGGAGAATCAAGCTGGGATCCAACTGGATTTCAGTCTTGCAAAACAGCACCCTGGCTGGATCCTCCGCTGCGTGCGAGAGGATCGTGCACTGGCTGCAGCCCTGCCTCCCCGCGGAGGCCATCTCACAGCACAGGTCTCGCAGGAACACCCTGTCCTGGAGAGCTCTCCCCGTGTCGAGTACGGCTGAAGTTGGCCAAGGGCTTGTGAAGGGAGGGGAAGGACTAGCCGGCAGAAAACGCAATTGCAGACGCGTTGTTTCCTTTGAAACATCCTCGCCCTGCTGTTCCTGGAGGCTCTGGCCCCCGGAGAAGTGGGCTGTCCCCTGATAACCAGGGTTGTCCCTGGGCTCTGCGTGAGCCGCTCGGGGCATAACCCCTTGTTTTCCAACCAAGGGCCGCTCCAGGGGCTGGGAAGGAAGAAACGAGGGAGCAGAGGGGCCTTGCCGTGATAACAACACCGGAGGCAGCTTTGCTGCTACATGGTCCCTTGCCTTTCCCCATCTCAAGAGGGAGGAAATACTGCAAAGCTGAAACAGTCTAACACAAAGGGGGGAAAAAGAGGGAGCATGGAAGGGGAAAAAGAAAACCAAAGCAACCAACCAAATAAAACACATAAGGAGAACAAAGCAAGCACACGGGGAGCCAAAGGCAGTGCTAACCCCTTGCAGCGATCCATCAGGAGCAGCCGGGCCCTGGGCTCGTCACGCCAGGAATCATCGCAAGCCCGAGGACCCGCAGGGAGAACCCCTCCGACAAACATGGGGAAGCAGCAGCGTTACCAGAGCATTTACAGCCCCACCTCACCACTCTGCATCACCTGGACCCCTTTCCTGCCACGACCCCGACATCCTGGCGTCTGGGATCCAAACTCAGTTTCTACGACAGCCCATTCAACTCCTTTCAGCAGGGCTTTGCACCCAGATCCCACTCGTTCCCAGGGATGCAATTCCCTCTGGATGAGAGGGCACGCAAGCAGAAACCACGCCAAAGCATGGCACAAGAGGGACGCTGCAAGCCAGCCTCCTGCCTGATCGTCTTGTCCCTTTAGACTTCGGGGCAGGGATTTTATTAGCCTGCCAAGACAGAGCTTAACAAAACAATCTCAGGTCTTGGCTGGCTCTAGCAGTGCCCCAGTAAGCCTGATAATGATGTTTGACTTGCAGACACTCCCTAATGCATCACCTCAGCTTCGAGGCTACTGCGAGCAAGGAAGTCTGAGTCAATGCAAATCAGCGCCGGGCAGAAAGGAGCACAGCAAGAAAAATGAGCAAGAGGAGGCCATGCGATAAAAAACAGTAGGGCAGCTGGTCCCCAGTCCTCCCTTCCCCCTCCCTCAAATCGCCAGGTGCACGAAGAACTAGAAGCTGTTCCAGGAGGTAGGAAAGGACCAAAGGAGAGGGGTTAGGTCTAAATTTGCTCTCCATGGATGGTTTGGACCAGGACTGCAAGAACCAGTGGCATGATGCTTCCCATCCAAGCAGGCCAGACTGCTCTGAGCAGCAAACGAGGCCTGGGAGCTGCAGTCAGGGCTCAGCCACACCACCAGACACGAGTCCCCAGGCTGGGCAGCTCGTAGCGATCCTGGCCCCAGCCCTGAAGCAGGGAAGGGACGTGGCAGGCGTCAGAGGAGCCCCAACAGCTGCCCTGACCCCTTTAGCCTGTCCTTCGCTGACCCCCTCTCCTGGGGGATCGCTGCCAGGGCGCGCGTGGTACCCACCAGGCGAGCGGCTATTGCAGCATCTG